ATAGTACCAAGTAATAGTGTAAAACCATGGTGTACTCCGTATCAATTTGTACACTATAATTTAGTAAATCACCATGAGTTTTGGGATTGCACAATTCTGTACAAAGTGCAGGCTGTCTATGATAAGTTGTTTATTCTGGTTCAAGTTTACCTTGCATTATCTGATACGCAAATTTCTTATTCCGTTTTCAAAAACTGGACCTACTCAGTAGTTGCGGAGTCGAGAGCTTTCTTGTTTCAGCGTTAATTTTTTTTATTGTTTCTTGTATTTTGGGCTCTAGCATGTGTTTTAAATATCTTCTTATGCAGTTTCCACATCTGCATAATTCAATTTGATAGATATTTGAACCGGGACTGGGTCAAGCGGATGTACTCATTATCCGGTTACCTTTTTACGTGACCGGGCGAAAGGGGCTGGGGTCCAATGACGAGAAATCAAGGATAATTGTATATTATTATCCATTGACAAATTTCAGAGGATATTCTCTCTAAAGATGGCACAATTCAAACTTACTATAGATAGTTTTTGATTCTTTGATGTCTTATCATCATGAGGTGATCGTATCATTGATTTTTTGTTAGCATCTCTGATTTTCAGACTTCTCCAACTGCAGGGAGGTCAAATGCAATCAATATAGCCGAAAGGCTCGGGATGCCTGATGTCATTGTGCACAAGGCTCGTGAACTTTATGGAGCTGCTAGTGCAGAAATCAATGAGGTACTTGCATATGATACCATTAACTTAGGTATTCAGGATGTTGATACTTGTAATTGATAAAAGATTTGCATGGCATGTTAATAGTTAGCCTTATATTGCTACTGAGCATCCTTATGGGAAGCCTCTTACCCCTTAGTATTGTCTAAAGTGAGTCTAATACCTCCTTGAAAATAAAGAACAAGTCTTGTGCTGGGTCATGTTTTGCATGCGAACCATGTGTCAGTTGCTGCTTTATTATATTTTTCACTGCTTTTCCTTCTTTTTCAGCAGCTTATTACACAATGAGTCCAAAGTAAGTGATCTTCTCTTTTACTGCCAAACCTTTCGCCACTGCCAAATTATTTACCACTCAAATTGGAAACAACTTTTAGCTATTTGGATTATCATATGATTTCAAAGGCAGATTAGCTTAAAGATCAAGCCAGAGTCGATCATTTCCTTATCTTGCTTCTTGGTTTCTTAATTTTTTTCAAAAATCAAACTAGATGCAAATTGAGTAGTTATTTTGTATCGTCAGTCTAAAGCTTTGACGGAACCAGAGTCACAGTTACCAGCATAACTGACTGTAATATGGGAACTGGAAAAAGCTCCTGCTTGGGGTTCCGAAACGTACTTAATGTCCTGATATTGGACCCAAAAACTGCCGTTATTTTTCTTGGCACCATAAAACCCAATACTTCAGATCCAAAAAGGATAGAGAACCCATCTCGTCGGAAAAAATGGCACCTGGCTAAAAAGAGTTGCTGCTGGCCAGCGTTTAAAAAGGAGATATATCAGACTGAAGGTGGAAGTGAAACGTGTTGTGTAGTGAAGAGAGTGAGGCGGTAAGGTAGAGGCTGTAATTTTGAAATGGTGGTCACTTCGAGTTTTTTTCTTAAAGAAAGCTGGTATGGGGAAGATGGAAAAAAATAAGAGAGTAAAGAATAAGAAATGATTTTTTTAAAAATAATTAATTTGTATAATATCCAATTGAAAAGCAACACATGTACTTTTTTTGTCCGCTTTTAGTGTTCTTTTTCCTTTCACGTGCGTATAGGAAGGGAAGACAATTTTTTGCCACGTTGATTCTCGGGGTGGTTAATACGTAATACTTAGAGCGGGGTGATAGGTCGCCCGTAAAGTTGAAGTGGGTAAATGACTTTTCTAGACAAGATGAATATAATTTCCTATTTTTATTCAATAGATTGCTTACCAAATCCTTGGATTTATTGCCACTTCATAGAAACATATACACCAAGAAATTTGCTGACCTGTAATTAGCTACTGTTGATTTTAGTTTCATGAGTAATTTCAATTGGTTATCGAAAACAAAAGTTCCTTTCTCTTCATATGCTCTTGATAGAATAATGCGCAAGAAAAGTATTTAATTCAAACACAATAATAAGTCATTATGACATCAAATTTGTGCATCTGAACATGCACGAATCTGATTTTCTTAAGCACTTTGATTTGTATTAATTAGCAGGTGCTTTTCTAAGCCTTTTTGCTAACATTGTACTGCAGGTTATACTTGACATGGAGAGATTTAAGCAGAACTTTCATGAGCAAGTTCGTGAGTCACAACGTCTTCTTAAGTGAGGATCCTATGTTACCTTTGCTGATTCCATATACCCTCAGTAATCACCAAAATAGATCTATCTTCCCTTATGCAGTAGTTTTGGTCGTTGAAACTGTTTCAATAGTGATTTTGTTCCATTATAGATCTCAATCTTCTCTCCGTTGATAGTTTAGCAAAGGGATCTGATCCAACCAAATCAAGAAGCAACAAGTTAAAAATGGAAATAAATAACAGCGCTCTATGGCTATCAAATGCCTCATCCTAGTTACTGAGATAGGCTAATACTAGTTGGCCTCTACCTGAACCTAAGATGCTAGAGAGAGAGAGTGTGTATGGATTGAAAAAAAGAAAAGAAAAGGAAAGATATGGGGTAGTAGAGGGTAGTTGAAATATGGTAACTACAGTAACTCTCACCTGCAAAAGAAGAGAAACAGTGACAAAAGTCTGGCTGGTCTGTGGTTATCAAAAAAAAGTCTGGCTGGTCTGCAGAAGCAGAGAGCAAATCATGAAAGTTATGGTAGTGGGAGGGAGCAGTAGTAATTGGAATGTTCAGACTGGTGGCTGTTTGATGGAACAGATTTCAAGTTGAGTTTGACTTATGATCTATGTTATATATGCTGATGGTGGCTGAAAAATTTAGTGAAAGCAGTTCTAATAAATACTATTACCAGAAATGCTCTTCATAAAAGAAATTACCAGAAGATTTCACATTTCATCTAGGGATTGTTTCTCCCTCGGCTGCCTTTTGCTCTTTTTTCTTGCAGTAAACTAACTATCAAAAATCTCATGTTGTGTGTATTTGTTCTCTGCCTTTTGGTTTAGGCTCACTAAAGGCCTCCATCACAAGTTGCTTATTGCCAGAAAAAATGTGAAAGAACACAGCATTAATCAAAGATTCAGAAAGGAACAGGAAATATCTGAAGCAGTTGCAGTAGCACGATCTTCCATTCAAAGGAGAGCACGACAATATCGTGCAATTTCTAGTCAACCATCCCAGAAATTATTGGGAAGTAATGGACACACATCAACTATGAAGAGTGAAGCTAAAGAGGAAAAAAGTGAAATTTCAGAAGCAACTCCTGCTGTGTTCCCCTCTCCCAGTACATCCAGGCTGCCTGTTTCAGGTAACATAATTTCTTTCTTCTTTCTTTTATGTGATGATCATTATTGCTTGTCAACGGACAATGGCTTGCTAGCATCTATTATATTTTCTTGTTTTACATGGATCAAAATATCCACTATTGGTTGCAATGATCTGTTTTGCCTATATACAGCCAAGAGGAGGAAACTTCCCAATGTTGGTGATTCAGTCCATGTTCCTTCGCTTAACAAGCAAGCTTTAGTCCTGAAAGTCGATCCTTCTAGAGAAGAGCTTTTAGTCCAAGCTGGTAACATGAAGCTTAAGCTTAAATTAACAGATGTATTGGCCTGAAAGGTGCCCGCACCAGGTAGGTTTTTCATATCTCCATCCTGCAGTGAGAAGTGTCCTTGGGAGTCTGGGACTGGCATTTGAAACCGCCTCCTGCCACCTGCAATTGGTATGACGGGACAGTTAAACTTGCTAAACGTGAAGTAGGAATGGTCGATTGGTATATTTCCTTACTATCACGTTTAATAATAAATAAGTGCAATGAGCTCGGGATATATCGTATAGCCTGAGCATATATCCAGTTACCGGGATGCATCTCATGCTATTTGACTAGGTACTCTCACAACTGAGATCTAGCATGCCCATAAGGAATTGTACTCGGTTTTCAGCTGCACCACTTTCACGGTGTTATGGCTTTTTAAGAGGATGCCTCGAAGAGAAGGGTCCATCAGAAAATATGCCCAATGTTGGCAAGCTAGCAATAATTTTCAGTTAAGTGCATGGGGTCATATGCAAGGCAGTGTATCAGGCCAAATACGACGTCTCTTTGAGCTCCGGGCTATACTAAAGTTATGGGGAACTTTTGATTGCTCCTCGTTCAGGTGTACTTGTATTTATTTGAGCTTGCTGGATTTGATTAAAGTCAACTACTAGATTCTGGATGACATCAGTTTATTTTTTTTTTTGAAATCAGTAACTTAGGATGACATCAGTTTATTTGAACTAGGTTGACTAGTTGCCTTGATTGGAGTGTACTTATTACTCTAGTAACTTCGTTGTGTACAAAAACGTACAGATTTTATACTTCTAAATGAAATTTAGATCTAGCTAATTACTTAGTCGCTCTTCCCTAGTTCCACCTTTAATATTCGACTGCAGCCTAAGAGTGTGAAGTCCTCACATGCAATACCTTCGTTCTTTTAAGGTTCATGTAAATGCCTGATATACAACTGTCATTATTAGTATTTAGGATTGCGGCCCGCCAGGCAAAACAAATTTTAAAAAATAAAAACCATAAGTTTATGTCCCTGCCCTGCATCTTCCATAATATGAGATTTGAAGCACATATTATTTCCAAGATTCTGACATTACATCAATAAACATAGAATGCGGAGGCTGCGTTGTTAGCAGGAGTACAGAAGAGATGGACCAAGGCTGCTTCCTTATTAGACATCGAGAAGTATTGAGGAATTCATTCTTTTTCTTCTTGCCAAGCTTAGTTCTTAAAAGAACAAAACATTATTGAAGATGGCATTACAAGGTACGAAAGCAGTTCAATGCAACTTGGATAGAATCTAAACTGCTCTCACTCTTTTTTACTACAACAAGCTAATAGTACACCCCACCCCCATTAATAGGATCATACTAAATACTGTACTGTGATTTGACATGAAGATACCTAAGCCAACAGTACCTAAACTACCTTGTCGTCAAGCAGTCTGCTGGTTGTTTTCATCAGCTGGTGCAACCCATCCAAAATCAGAACTTACATCCAAGAAATAAAGCATGATAACCAGGAAAATGCAGCAGAGAAACATAGGAATAGGTCCAAAGATCCACAAAAATAGTGGAAACGAAAAATAAAATGCACGTAGTCCAAGTGACCAGAAATAGCTGCCTCTATTCACTGTCCTCCCTACATACTCCGCCGTCGCACAATGCCTTGACGAATCCAATTTCTTGTAAGGCACGTTGATGAGTATGCTAGCATGACTATAATACCTAATCGATTGCACATTAAACAAAAACGCCACCATAAAACATACCAATATTGAAAAAAACTTAATTGACAAGCAAAACTCGCTCTTATCCCCATAAACATGAAAACCAACTGAACGACCACTGCTTCCGCCCGTCATTAAGACGGCAATGAGAGAACTAAGCATAATCGCCGTAGATGCTAAAAGCGTCGAAGCCATTATGTTGTTCCTTAGCGTCTGTACTGCTAGAACTCCATTCTGAGATGATTCCTGTTACATTCAATTGATTAATTATTTAGTTAATAAGAAAACTAGTCCGATCCTAATTAATTAATTACCTCCATCCTAGCAAGAACCCATAAGCGACGATTAATGGAATTGATGCCAATGACTGTGTGAGTTGGGTGTTTAAGAATGCGTTGAAGAAGCCATAAGTGATAAGCAACCATGATAAGTAGGCCTAATGGTACCAACACGTAATCCAAAATTTCTTTCTCCATTTTGAAATAGAGTGACGATTTGAAGTTAATGGTCAAAACTCCAATTGTGTATTAGGTCTATAAATTCTACTGCTCCCTACTCCGGCTTTCAAGGCAGGGAGAGGGGGAATTCGGTGGTGCATCGTAATCCCAGTAAAAATTAAAGACATCGTCAGCTAATCGTATATGTATATTACTAGCTTGTACACATTGATAATCTCTTACTCCCGTCCACCTTTACGATACTTGTTTAGTTTAGTATTTTTGTATCTATTTTATCCTTGTTATCAATTTCTAATACATTTTTCAAAGCATTAAATTTAATATATTCAAAATATTACTCTATTATTTATTGTTTCTTAAGGTGTGTGTCAAGTCAATATTGGACAGCTATTTTTGAACAGAGAGAATAATTAATTTTTCACTAAATTTTATTTAGATACTTGAGTTATATAGTACTCCCTTTGTTCCTATTTATGTATTGTCTTTATTAAAAATAGATGATCCTTAATATTTGTCATTTCACAAAAACAATGCATAAATGATATTATTCCTCTTATTTTACCCTTGAGAGTTATTAGTCTTGAAAATATGAATTTAACCAACATAGAAAAACTTAATAAATTAATTATGTTCATTTTTCGGAACATGACTTCAAGAGAATACTAACAAAAGGTACAATGGTAAACTTATATAGTTTCTTAAGGGGCGTAAATCTAAAGTTTAATCCTAAACTGCCGGAAAATTTGGCCAGAAATTTAAAAAATCTATAATATTTTTTTAATTTTAAAATATACTAATCTTTTCCATTTTTTAATTAAAAAATATTTAAGTTAAAAGGGTAAAAATGTTCAAAAAGATAAAATAGCATAAGTAAAATACCATTCTGGCCAAATTTTGATTAAATAAATGAGCACATGGTAAAAGTATTTTTATTAGAATTTTGAAAAGAAATGGTACGTTCTCATATGGCATTAACAATGACTACTTTAGAACATGCACAAAAAAAGTCCAAAATTTGATTTGAAAATATATAATAAAAATGTTTTATCATGTATATGTTCAAGTCCTTAATAGAAAAAGACTAATTTAAATGGTTATCGATGTATAGAGCCTACACGAAACCACAAGAGAACGTTGAGGTGAAAAGAAGAAAGCAGTATATTCTGATTTCTGGCATCTTTATTCTGAGGTAAGTGATTTTAAGAGATTATTATTTTTTGGATATCATTATATTGTCGCCAAAATGAGTAAATCAAAAACCCAACAGCATCACCTTTTACAAAAGTTTTTATACATTGTAATTGCCGAATACATGATTATTCATATTCAAAATAATTATTTCCCTCTTAACTGTTACTTGTCAAATTTGATTTGGCATATTGGAAAACAATTATTGATATAGGTACTTTGTCAAACTATCTCTATTAAATAATATTTTGTATTAAGTCTTGAAAAATGATTTAGAGAAAGAGTATTTAATATTAAGGGTAAAACATAAAAAAATATAATTGTCTTTTCTTGATTTTTCAAAAATGGCAAATAAAAATGAAAATATATTTTAAAAATAAAAGACAAGTAAGAGTAAACGGAGAAAGTAGAATCTGATTTAGTTCTAGCAACAGTAACAAGATTTACAAGCCATGGATAAATTAATACTCATAATATTCGTCACTCAAGTCACTTTTTCATCGGTAAATTAAATAAGCCTGAGTCAAGGTATATTTGGTCTTTTATGTCTTAACTAATTTTCAACCCGCTCATCTGAAATGTTTTCAACTAACATGCACACACATAAAAAGCACACCGGAACTTTCGAATGAGGATTCGATTCTCCACAATTTAAAATTCTTTTAAATATATAAATATTAATTTGAGATTATTTTAGAAATCAAGCAGTTTAATTCAACTTATATTGAATCAAAACTGCTCGATCTCTCACTCTCCCTCCTTATGCAGTCTGCTGCTGAGTCTCCTCATCAGTTGGTGTAACCCACCCAAAATCAGAACTCACATCCAGAAAATACAGCATAAAAACCAGGAAAACACAGGAGAGGAACATAGGTATAGGACCAAAGATCCACAAAAATAGTGGAAATGAAAAGTAAAAAGCACGCAATCCAAGTGACCAGAAATAGCTGCCTCTATTCACCGTCCTCCCTACATACTCCGCCGTAACACAATGTCTCGAATTCGAAGAGTCCAATTTCTTGTAAGGCACGTTGATGAGTATGCTAGCATGACTGCAATACCTGATCGATTGCACATTAAACAAAAACGCCACCATAAAACATACCAATATCGAAAAAAACTTAATTGACAAGCAAAACTCCGTCCTGTTTCCATAAATATGAGTACTTATAGATCCGCCGCCCTTGCTTCCACCGGTCACTAAAACGGCGATGAGCGAACTGAGCATAATCGCTGTAGACGCTAAAAGCGTTGAAGCCATTATGTTGTTCCTTAACGTCTGTACCGCTAAAACTCCATTTTTCGACGGATCCTGTTACATTCATCGATTGCATGCAACAATTAATTAGTTATGAAATTCATCGCTAAATTAATAATCCGTAGGGAACAGAATTACCTCCATCATAGCGCGAACCCAGAACTGACGATTGATTGAATTGATGCCGATGACGGTATGGGAAGGGTGTTTAAGGATGCGATGAAGAAGCCATAAGTGATAAGCAATCATGAAGATGAGGCCTACTGGTACCAACACATAATCCAAAACTTGTTTCTCCATTTCAATGGAGTTTCAATATTAATGTATCAGAGCTGCAAAAGTGAATGTGTTTTGGGGAAAATATATTGGTGTAGTCTGATTTTACACAGCTTGTCCCGTGCCCTTAAATGCAGGAAGGAGAGTCCAATTGTGACACGAGTCCTTCCCCGGGTCGAGTTGTTCGGTGGTGAACCGGTGTCTCGTAATTTGCGTTTATATTTGACTTGATATACTTATTAATAACATCATTAATAAGATTGAAAAGTTTACTATACTATCCTTCGATTACAGTAAATTCAAAACTTTGAAAAAAGTTATTGAGAAATAAATAACTCCATACTTAACAATAAGGGGAAATATGTATAAAATACATAGGTTGCGGTTAATTTTTGAACCTAAACAATAAGATATACATCTATTTTTAATAATAAGGTGAGGAAATAAAAATAAACAAAAACATTAGAAAAAGAGAAGGAAGGTTAAGAAAATTGTAGAAATTTCATTTTTATTACTTATATATTTGATAAAATTGAGGGGAAGGAAGCCTCCTATTGATGGAAGAAAATTTTGTTCAACAAGAAAAAAGTTGCGTTTTGCTACTTGCTAGATGCCTACATGTAACTATATTAATTAAAAAGAATATATAAAAAATAGCTATGTATAATTTAGTCATCTAGAGGGCCCAGGAGAAAGTGAGAAAACAAACAAAAAGTATATTCTTGGATCTCTATTTACGTACACTCAACTAATATATTTGGACTATTATTTTTTTCCATACATTTTGCTAGAAGAAGTTCGACTTGCTTAAACTTATTTCTGTATTAATTTATTTATGTTTTAACATGAAATTTAAGAAAATAAAGAAAAAAAATTAATTTTGTGGTATTAAATTAAAGTTAGGTTCAATGTATCAAAATGTCCTTTAATTTTATGGCCTAAAACATGTCATATGAAAAGTTGAAACTAATAAAATGTTGCCAACAAATAAAATAAGTCATTTTTTTTTAATCGAAAAATAGTATTTAAAGAAGTTGAACAAGTTATAATTATCGATATCGAATCATATAATTTGATATAATAATATCATACTTTTAAATATCGAAATTGAAATTACCAAAAATAAATAAATTAATAGATATCACAACATACCATATACCATGCTCACCTCTAAAAGAAGAATTGTGCAAACTCTGACGATATAAATAGTCTGCAAATCACATAGGGAATGTAACCTGCACTAGATAAACTCTATGCAATTAGTGGTGGACTCAGAATTTTCGTTCAAAGTTCGAAAAATAAAAGTATAAACGTGTAAATAAGCCAACAAAAACAAAATTCAAGAAAGTAGTATATAGTTCTAGTGGCGGATCCTTAATTTTTTTGGATTTAAAATCACTCTTTTAGCATGTTTTATAAAATAAAAAAACTAAAAAAACGTGAAAAACAGAACTGAAACTAAAAAAAAAAAAAACTGAAACTAAAAGGAAGTAGTAGTATATAGTTTTAAAGGCGGACCCTTGAATTTTTTTGGGTTTAAAACCACACTTTTAGCATGTTTTATAAAATAAAAACTAAAAAAAAGGGAACAAAATTTTTTTTATTTAAAAAAAAATAAAAAACTGAAACTAAGAAAGGAAAAAAGAAAAATTCGAAACCTTGACGTTAAGCTTAATATTAAGGGACGTGCCGCTATCAGTTTCTCTTTGTCATTAAGGGGGTTCAAAATATATATATCCACATAAATACAGAAATTTACCTTATATACAAGGTGTAATTTTTTACCGAGGGGGTTCGGGCCCCTGTATGCAACATGCTCGACTCAGAACGTATTGAGGAGGAATCGATCCTGGATCATCCATGTGACCATGTGAATGACCACCCTCCAAACCAACTAAGTTATCCCGAAGGACTATAACAATTCTGATTAACAATTAAACTTTTGTACGATTTCGAAAAATGATAAAAAATTAGATCAATTACGTTTATTAAAAAAAAGTAACAAAAACAAAAATATGATAGCAGAGGACTCTCAAACACATAGTAAATTCAACAAGTGTTAGCTGTTAACAAACAACTAATCTGTATTCCTAATATTTCCTCCGTCTGAAACTAATTAAAAAGAGGTATTTTATTGCTTTATAACATCTTCCCATTTAAATGATCACTCTAATAATATAGTAATTCGAGACGAAGAAAATATTAAACATTGGTAATAATATCCGCAAAATTAGTAAAGGAAGTTTCGTGTAGAAAACTGAACCATAAATCATATAATATAAATTATATGCAATAC